CCCCCCCCCCCCCCCCGCCCAATCCACCCCCAAAACCATGTGGCAGCTCAGTCAGAGATACTATGGATTATTAGCACTCCGGCCTTCCCCGCGAGAGGATTTGAGTGTAGGAGTCGGGATGTCTTGCTGCAGTTATACAGGGCCTTGGTGAGGCCACACCTTGAGTATTGTGTACAGTTTTGGTCTCTTAATCTGAGGAAGGACATTCTTACTATTGAGCGAGCCCAGCAAAGGTTCACCAGGCTGATTCCCAGGACGGCAGGACTGACATATAAGGAAAGACTGGATTGACTGGGCTTATATTCGCTGGAATTTAGAAGAATGAGGGAGGATCTCATAGACACATATAAAACCCTGACGGGACTGGACAGGCTAGATGTGGGAAGAATGTTAGTGATGTTGGGGAAGCCCAGAACAAGGGGTCACAGTCTAAGAATAAGGGGTAAGCCATTCAGGACTGAGATGAGGAAGAATTTCTTCACTCAGAGAGTTGTGAACCTGTGGAGTTTTCTCCCACAGGAAGCTGTTGCGGCAAGTTCATCAGATATGTTCAAGAGGGAGCTGGATGTGTCCCTGATGGTTCAAGGGATCAAGGGTTAGGGAGATAGAGCAGGAATGGGATACTGACATTGCATTATCAGCCATGATCGTATTGAATGGTAGTGCAGGCTCGAGGGGCCGAACAGCCTACTCCTGCACCTATTTTCTATGTTTCTATGTAATCAGGATGGTCAAGTCATTAAATGATGGGATGTTAGTGATGGGGTGAGGGTGCTGTGAGGAGAAAGAGAGATGCGTACTCATTTGTCCAAGGCTATAATTCTCCTTCTGGGGTCATATGTTAGAGCTGGGCAGAGGGTATTCTTAGGTTCGGACCCCGGGCATACCCTCCACGAGTGGACATTCTCCGACTAACTGCACGGCAAGATCCCAAACCGTGTTTTCCGCAAGTGCAAAACTCATTAACCCAAGTCCTAAAGAGCACAAAAACAGAAGTTGCTGGAAAAGCTCAGCAGGTCCTGAAAAAAAATCAGAGTTAACGTTTCGGGTCCGGTGACCCTTCCTCAGAGCATAAAGAGCACAGTCCGTTCTCCCAAATCATCCAGGAGGGAGGGGAATGTGCTGTCCTGTACGATTTCCAAGGATGGACCGTGCCCACTCCCTCAGCACTGACCCTCCGACAGTGCGGCGCTCCCTCAGCACTGACCCTCCGACAGTGCGGCGCTCCCTCAGCACTGACCCCCCGACAGTGCGGCGCTCCCTCGGTACTGACCCTCCGACAGTGCAGCGCTCCCTCAGCACTGACGCTCCGACAGTGCGGCGCTCCCTCAGCACTGACCCTCCGACAGTGCAGCGCTCCCTCAGCACTGACCTTCCGACAGTGCCCGCTCCCTCAG